TCTGTGCTCCAGATGCAAGTCTGTGTCTTTATTCATACTGATTCCCTGGGGCACTTTGACACCATGCTCACCGAATCTTGCCCTTCTTGAAGGGTTCAAGCTGTGCTTTATCTCTCAGGTCTGTCATAATGACCTCCGTGCACCCCAAGGATGCCCTTTCACAGTGCTCTGAGATCACTTTTGTTAGCACTGGTGTCTAGCTTTTAACCCGGTGCCCTTCCCCTATCCAAACTAGTGCCTGTGCTAGTTAGCTCTGGGAAGGCATGTCCTGGTGCTTCCCGTACACTAAGAATTTGTTGTGAGAATTTACCGAATTCGTGTGTGGGTGATTACCAAGCACAGTATAGAAATATCCAGAATGTCTTCCTAGAGAAAACTTTGTATATACAAACCCCACACTGAATACTCACTCCCCCAGACAGCCGCTGGGATTTACCCAGGAAGGCCCCTTTGTAAGGTTGGTTCAGGACCATTGCCACAGGCTGTGATGGTGAACTGGGCCTTGTTAACAACCCACCTGGAAAAACTCAGCTTTCTGTCCTCTCTAAATCACTCACTTCACAGCTTCCTAAGGAAATCTTTGTCTTGGCAGCTTCCATCCTCTCCCTGCAGATTCCTTTGTTTACCTGAAATTTTGTACTTGCACAGCCTTCTTTGGAGATGAAGGCTGAGTTAACCAACACAGGCCCCTTGGTGCAGGGATACTGTACAGAGCAGGAGGTCCCAGCAGACAGGATCTTCAGCCTCCTGGGAGGTGCTGCTGTCCTGGCCTTCAGTTGCTGTCCTTTGGGCTGCTGATGCTGGCCCAGTAAAGACTCAAAGTCAGCAGGGAAGCTGTGGTTCCGGGATGGGATACATTGCTGTGAGTCTACACTCCTTCCAGCCACTTTCGGTGGGAGCCTCTTGACTTCACAAATCTTTTCTCCACTGGTAGAAGTCCCTCATGCAACACTGAGTGATCATCAGGGATCACTTTTCTTTATGTACTTAATGATATCTTCAAAAAATGAATAGGCCATGGCATACTTGATATATATATATATATATATATATATATATATATATATATAATTTAGAAGTTACTTAAAACAGGTCAATTTGGGGTTTCTAATATATAGATTGATGGGATATCTTTTGAAAATAATGTATAGTGTTCTGTAAAACATTTTCTATCTTTAAAAAGGGCTTTTAAAATGTAATTTCCATTTTAATCTCTGAATTTATACATGCATGTAGAGTGCATGTGTTTATTTCTAGGGCTACAACAGTCCCCAATCCTCTTGCATTCTAAGGAAGATTTTACGGAAGTTTAGTACACTTTCTAAGACTCCGCCCACCTCTCACATTTTTGTGAAATTCTCTCCCCATTTTTTCCAAATCTCGAGCTAAAGCTCAAGTGATAGAAGAGCTGTTGTCTTTCAGTAAAAAAGAAAGTGACACAAGAGACATTTCCTATCAAAAGGGTCGGCCCAGGAAGTCTTTGCTGGAAAGCATCTTTCTGCATAGGGAGCTCTAGACAGCTTCATAGAAGCTGTGTGAGGTGCAGCCACTGCAAAAACATGACAATCCAAGATGCCCTCAGCACGTCCCTGTGAAGCATCTGTAGTTTATCACTGTTTCCTCTATGAACCTGAACACAAATCAAAGTATTGTAATGTCTGGGAAAGGACATCCTCTTTCTAGGGTATCAGCAATAGTTAAGGAGAGTGACATCTCAGACATCATCTATGTTCGTGGGTTACCTTAGGAGATTTGGAAGTCAGGAGAGAAAGGATATGAACAAGAAGAGGAGAAGGAAGTGGAGGAGGAGGAAGGAAGCCAGGCAAACACCTATGTCTATCTGGGGTTTGCAGTGGGGCCTGGGCACAGCAGATCTGAACAATATTAAAAGTCACAGTGCAGTAACAGCTGGTCAGATATCAGGTCCAGTTCATGATTTTAAGCTTTGCTCTTCTAGGATAAGTTTCTTCTTCCAAAATCTTGATTCTTCCTAACAGGACTCCCAGTTTAAGATAACCCTTCATCTTTCAGTTCATTCCTTCTAGAAGAGAAAAGAGGTGACAAGAAAAAGAGAGAAGAGAAGGGGCAGGGAGGGTGACACAGACCAGCATCTTCAAGTACTGCCTGTCTTCTTCTTACTTTGCGTTTTATGGGAGTATGCACTGGGCTCAGATTTTTTCAGTCTAGATTTATCCTTGGATCTCTAAAGTTCCTTTCTGGGACTCATGGTAAAAGTGGTGCATTCTGGGAAAGGCAAAAGACTTTGGTGGAGGGAGAAGCTGATCTATGTGGCTTACAAGATGCAGAATACCATTGGAGCTCCTAAAAGAAGAATAAGCTAAGGCAGTGTAGCAGCCTTAGGAGAGGGGAAAAAGAGAAGTGGGGCTGGGAAGAAGAAGAAAAACAGAAGAGAGAGAACTGGGCACAAATCTAGAAGAATTAATATCAGTATCAGTAGTGTGGTATGGGGTATATGGTTTCTGGACTAAGTTCTAAAGTCCCACCATGATTTCTGCCAATCTGTGGGATGGTAGAACATCTCATTCACCATGAAATACCATTGCAAAAAAAAAAAAAAAAAAAAAGAAGTGAGAAGCTGGCTCTTGGGTTTTTCTAGTAGAGGAAAATCCAGCAGTAAAATTAGGTCCTGAGTGTTAATCACCTGTGGCATAACAGTTAACTTAGAATAATACTGAACTGCTTTCACATCTGACATTCTCCACAAACCTGTCTCCTTTTATGTGTACACATGCCAGTATATAAATTGCTGCATCCATGTCAGTTGTAAAGTAATGGCACCAAGGGTGTCGTAAATCACCACAGTGATCCTCAGGAGAAGACACTGTCGTATCTGAATGAGTGTTCCACGTCCACAGTAATGCATGCCTTCATCTGGCCCAGCAGTCAGCATATCGCCCCATGTTGATGGATATTGTCAGCTGGAAGCTACACTGCATTGCACTGCACAATAAACATGGCTGTCAACGCCACGGAAAGTGAAATCAATTTATCCTGTATGGTCAGTGCATTTTAAATGAAATTAATGTACTGTGGGTATGGTGGCAAAAAGGTAGCATATTAGTTATGCATCCTGGGACCTGAGCCTTTCTGAGTAACACATCATTCTGTCTAGTGCGCTTGAGAAAGGGCTCTTTATAAAATGTGTGTTATTTTTTTCATCATCTTCAGAAAGTGGCCTCACTGCCCTCCTTCATTTTCAGGGAAAAATCCACAATATTAGCCAAATTCCATTCTTTTATCCTATCTTTTGTCTGTAGTAAATGATGACCATATTTTTCAAATAATAGCACCCCTTAATGTCCTAATTTATTACTGGCTTTGACACAAACAAATTGCTCCTTTAAGCAAGGTATCTGGAAATAGGACAGAAGGACCAGAGATTGATGGGGCGTGTTGCTCCTGTAAAATCCCAGTGCTTGCACTGAATGGATTGTTCTAGAAAACGGAGGTGTTGGTTTTAATTCATACTGAATTTGGGAAGTGGGGTACAGGATTTCTAGTTTGTATAGTAGGAACACTGACTGAAGCTATCAACTGTACCTACTCCACATTTCACCATAGAAGTTCTCAATCTACATAAAGATAGCAGTAGTTAAGACAAGGCAATTAACTACTGCTATCTCTATGTAGATTGAGAACTTCTGATTGCTCTTTGGGCTGATGAGGGAGGGGGACTGGACTGGGGGAGGGGGAGGGAAATGGGAGGTGGTGGCTGGGAGGAGGCAGAAATCTTTAATAAATAATTAATAAATTAATAAAAAAGACAAGGCAAAGCACACATCAGTGTGTCACACTCGGGTGTATGAAGAAGCCAGAGCCTCATTCACTCATTCATCTAACACACATTAGGAATTAGAATTTTGTGTACCAGATACGTCACCAGATTCCAGGACTCCAGCTGCAAGTCAAGCCTCCCCCCCCCCCCAATCCTGGAGGAGTTGTCTCTCCAGTGTGCTAATAAGTTAGGTCTTCAGAGAGTGTCAAGGTTTCGTAAACAATAAAGAAATCCTTTTTATCAACAGAAGCATATCAGGTATTTAATAGTCTACTATTTTTGCATATGAATTGAAGACTATGTTGTTTGGGAATTACCGATATACAAGTATGACAATAAGAGAATTTCTGACTTTAGGGATTGCATGTTCCAGGGATGGAGTGGAACTGTCAGAAGGAGACAGTCACATATGAAATAATTACTTCAGGGCGTGAGCGTGGCAGCCAGAGGGGCCAGTGCATCCTGAATGGAGATCCTCACCATCCTGGCTGCTCTTGTAACCTGAATGCCCTTCCTCGTTGTCTTTTATCCCCTCCCTCACTTACCTGCTGATTCCAGTTCCTCCTTCCAGGGTCAGCTGATGTCATGCCTCCCAGGACATGGGAGGTGCCCTGCTAATTCCAGTCTTGCCCTATTTTCCACATAGCCAGTCATAACTGTCTGCCTTCCTGACTGTGAGCTTCTCGAAGGCTTTATCCACCTTTTTATCCACAGTGCATAAAGCTTCCCTTATAAGTGATTGCTCAATGAGTGCATTTGATTGAATTAATTCATTCCTTAAGCAGCAACAATTGAATACGACTTGAAAGATAGTGCGTCTAGCTTGGAGGAGTAGAAGGCCTCAGGGGCACATTTGAGGACACACATAGTTTGAAGTCACAGATTTTTAGAAATGATTGGTAAGAGTTTGCTTTTGAAGGAAAGCATTATATCAGGGGAGCCCACTAATCGTATTTCCTTACCACCTACAACCGATGTAGTGTGTGGTGTAGAGAACAACATGCAAGATCAGCTCAGCCTCCTGTCTCTGGCACTGTGTCAGCAAGGCTTGTGGAAACATCATTTAAAATTGTCTGCTTCTGAAAGACCTCTTAGAACAGAAGACGGGCGGGGCTGGGGACAGCAGTGGAGCCAGGCACAAAAGTGTGGTATGCCCTCATAATAATGCTTTCCTCATCTTGTTCTTCCCACCCTAACATCACAGGAAGCAAAGCAATGAATGGCTCTGCAGCTAAACTACAGCAGTATTATTGTTGGCCAACAGGAGGCGCCACTGTGGCTGAAGCACGCGTCTACAGGGATGCCCGCGGTCGTGCCAGCAGCGAGCCTCACATCAAGCGACCAATGAATGCGTTCATGGTTTGGGCGAAGGACGAAAGGAGGAAAATTCTTCAGGCTTTCCCTGACATGCATAACTCAAACATTAGCAAAATCTTAGGCGAGTGCTACGGCCTACAAGGAGGGTGGGGTGGGTGTAAGGGTGGAAAAACGAGCAGAAGTGACCTCCTAAGAGAAACCGTTTGCTAGGGCAAATGAAATTAAGGCAAGTGCCCACAGCAGCCTCAGAGTGCCACCGCACCACAGTTTAGGTGAAGGGTTGTTGCGTCTGGTAAGACAAGGCCTGCAAACTTTCTTCTCGGACAGAATTATCACTAGGGTAAGCCTGGCTAAGCGCTTTAATTTAGAGCTGAACTTCTTAGAGTGGTGTGCTCACCTTGTAAATTTAGCAACTATTGAGTGAGATCACAGGACTCACAAGGACAGACAGACCTTACAGGTAGTGGTTCTACTTGGTGAGTTCTCCCAGGTTCACATGGTCACTGGCAGAATTCTCCAAGTACAAGGGGTGCCTCCCAAATGGTGTGAAATTCATGGGTGCAGAACACTGTCTCTAATGATAACTTGACGGCTTGTAAACTAAAGCTAGATTTAATCTGACACTGCATGCCTAGTTCACATTATAGCCATGTGCTGAGCTGCAACCTCAGGGCAGAGCCCTGCTTCTCCAGCACGGTCCTGCACGTTCCCAGCTTAAACTCAAGCCTTAGACCATCAGGGTAAGCCTGCTAGCATAGATTACACAGTTTGGAGCTGTTGTGCTCAACATATTGAAGATATTTTATTCAACATGCAGCATTACAGTCAACATGTTTCCTCTTTAGAGAGAAGAAACACAGACGGCCCTGTTCTGTTTAAGCCGCCACTGTAGAACAGAGCCCGAAGGAGCTGCGTAAGATGCTGGAAAGCACCAGGCTTAAACTGTGGCTTTAATTCTTTAAATGTTTTGTTCAAGAGCAATAAATATTTAACCTGAGTAAATACCAGTGATCTGGGCATACACAAATACACGTGTTTTGTCACAAAATAAATGATTTAACTTGATTCTGAGATATTTCGAGGCAAGAGCCTCTAAGAAAATTTAAAACATACTTTGGACCAAATAGATGTAGAACATGGAAACACGGGCTTTTTCCTTTTTGTTTGGTACTTTTGAATTCTAAAACAAGTGCTAAATATCACTTCCATTTAGAGAAACTTCAATTTTAGGGTTTCAGAGATAGGCAGAGGAGTGATATTCTTTTTAATTTAAATACAAGCTAAAATGTTCCTAATGGGTAGAATATATATATGTACATATATATATATATATATGTATATGTATACTAAATTCAAAGACATAAAAGAAATCAGTGTTACTCCAGCCTCGCAGCTGCTGATAACTCCATGTTTGTTTCTTGTCTTTTCGGTAGCAGCATTTGTAAGCTTTCAGATGGGCACAGACGCCCTCTGTTTCCATCTTGGCAGCCTTGAAGAATCTCTATTATTGATATGCATCCTGTGAAAACATGATGAGGAACATGAAACGTATATTCATTAAAATGTAAACTGTTATGCACGAACATTTCACATTTCAAGGGTGCCAGGAACCCTAACCTGGGGCCCTACGTTGCTGGCAGCCAGCATAACAAGCTGATTGGCACAGCCGCTGGGTCTGCACAATTTCATGCAACCATCAGGAAAGGACAGGGATGCTGTGAGAGCAAACCAGGGTATTGCTGGCTACTGAGACTATTTGTACAACTTCGCTGTTTGTTTATGTGTGAAGAGTCGCCACTGAAGAACTGCTAACCTCCAGTCTGCACAGCTGTGGCCACTTTATCCACCAGACACAGAAATGCAATTCAATACATGTGAAGAAACACATCCCTTCTCTGTCAAGTGTTTAGATAATTCTTTGTAAACAATATTAGAGAAGGGAATACTTTTCCTTCTTCCTGTATAAACCATACTTTAAAAACTCTGTGCTCTTATTAGTTCATCTTTGAGTGATCATTTATAGAATTTGAGAATGGTGCATATGACTTCAACTGCACTTCCCCTTCTATAGCTACAACCTTTTAAGTAGAGGTGTGTCACCCTAGAGGTGACAGTGCACAGGGGAGGTATCTATATATGTAAGAATGCTAGCATGTGCCTAAAGAGGCTTGGAGTGTGGGACAGATTCAAGTTTCTGAGAAGAATTCTGTCAATCTCAGAAGCATGCCTTGAAGGTTTGTGCTGTTAACCCTTGGGGAGAGAGAGAAGAGGGCAGAGGAGAGAGAGGTGGAAGCTGAAAGACAGCTAATCAGGGAAGCTCTTGGCTATGGCAGCAAAGCCATTTTACAGTTGCACAATAGGGCTGGCTCAGAAGGCAAAGATACTTGTCTCATAAGCCTGGTGAGGTGACCTAAGTTCAATCCTCAGAGTCAATATAAAAGTGGAAGGAGAGAACTAATTTCCCAAAGATGTCCTCTGACACACCTGAACACCCATGTATATGTACACGAAAAACATAATATCACCAGTCATAAAATATTGAGAGAAAAAATGCAATAAATACATTGTAGACTTTGCTCTTGTTTTTTTGGCTCTGTAGTTTAAAGAACAAGTTGGGAAGCTCAGCCGTGGGTAGTAACAGGAGCTCCTGAGCAAAGGCAGTGAAGTAATGGGAGAAATGACCAGTCATTTAGATCTGGAACATGTCACCATCGCCATGACTGCTTATATATTTAAGGCTAATTTCATGTTTAGGATCTCGCTGGAAATCCATGTCCAACCAGGAGAAGCAACCTTACTATGAAGAACAGGCTCGGCTAAGCAAGATCCACCTAGAGAAGTACCCAAATTACAAGTACAAACCCCGGCCGAAACGCACGTGCATCGTGGATGGCAAGAAGCTCCGGATTGGAGAGTACAAGCAACTGATGCGCTCCCGGAGGCAGGAGATGAGACAGTTCTTCACTGTTGGGTACGTAGTCCCGAGTGGAGACCCACCCTCCCCTTCCCAGGAAAGAGCTATAGGATGCTCCTGGCGTGTGTGTTTGGGAAAAGGTTAGTGAAGGGAGGATTGTGACCTGTGGAGGTCATGGCTATGGGACTCTGCCCTGTCACAAGCCTACAGCTTGTCTCCTGCCCCCACTCTGCACAAACCTGCTGATCGCATGTCTTCCATGCTCACCCGATATAGCCAGTGCCCACACACAGAGTTCCTGGTAGTTTATTTAGATAGACACACAGAGAGAAAAAGTAAAAACTGCCTCTTAGAACTCCCCACAGCTTCCCGGCTTCTCTGGTGGTGCTTCTGACTGTAGTCACAATGGTCTGCTTTTGTTGTGGGATCTACCACAAGATAATTGGCCTTGACATTGGTTAGAAGACCTCATTTTTGGCATCGTATCCAGAACTCCTGTTGCAGTAAATTATTCTGTGGTGGAAGCAGTAACAATGTGGATTTTCTTGCTTAAATCAGAAACTGGGCATGTTTTTGATATCTTCAAGTCTGATTTCATGTCATTTTGTTTAAAAATTAGGTAATAGATTTCTGGTATAAATTTCGACTTGGCTGACGGGCTGTCTGCATTCAAAAGCGGCCCCTCCTGACCACAGTAGTCAGGATAAGTGGGCAGATGCCTGGAGATTCCAGCACACAGACCTTAGCAGCCTATGGGTGTGGGGGAGGCACTCTGGAGACAGAGGCTGTGGCTGCAGGCAGAGGGAGAATCCTAGGAGAGAGATGAGAGAGAAGAGCCGAGGAAACAGAAAGGAAGCCACATTAGCTGGACATGTGAAGGAGAAAGGGAAGCGGTACCCTGGCCAACTAAGAGTTCTACTTAAAGGAGCAAAGAGGGAGACCTTCCAGGGGAGGTGAGATGCTCTTTATGTTTAAGGATGCTCCAAGGGAAACCCCAATGGAACATGCTGGTCTTAGAAGCACATGTTTAAAAGGGTGAAATAAATTCAAATAATAAACAGAGCACAATTGGGAAGTTACTAAAAGTCTTCTACATATGCTGTGCCAGGGTCTTGGGGAGAACTGGGGCATTGAGGTTTGATGACTGGGCAGTAACTGCTGACCCTGCCAACTACTTGGGTAGGGCCCTTACCTTTACCCAGTTTCCATTTCCTCCCATGTGAAATGGGAGGGACGACAGCAGGTGTCCTGTGTCATCATTGAGACTATTCAAGAAGGCAGAACTTCCAGAAGACAATACTCAGGACAGTAGCTGCAAAGCCAGGATCTGCAGTTTGACTTACTATGTATCCACTACCCCAGCAAAACTATCTAGCACCCTAGTTCACCAGTGAGTTTCTCTAGACTCCGGCAAACAGACCTTTTCAGGAATAAAGGGAATTGTCCCACCTTATTAATTGAAGATTCTAACATGTTAATAAATGAAGATGTTACAGAAATGGGCTTATCAAATACTTCTGTGCTATGAATGTTTGTGCCTTTTGAAATAATGCTTATAACACAAAATGTACAATGCAATGTAATTGGACCATTCACATGGTAATGAGACGATTTGTGAAAAATACAGGTTCACAGCGCCCTTTCAGTAGGCTAGTCATTTTAACACAATATGGATTTAAGACTGCATGATAAACATCTTGTGTGTTTAACCTGGTACTGCATCCCTGAGACTGTATTTATCTTTTGACAAGTTTGAATTTGAGAGCTTTTGTGATTCCTGGCCTTCTTATGCCCCTGTGTGTTGAGTGATACTCAGTGGGTCCCTTTGACCACAGTCTGAAAGGTTATCAGAAGTACTGTTTGTCTCCTGATACTTATTTGAACAGACGAGTTGTAGCAATGGTATTTAACTTAGTTAGTTTTGCTACAGAATATATTAAAATAGGTCTGTATCCAAATACTAGTACATACTGGTGCAGACTGGTGATTTCTTTGAGACATAATATATCAGTAACTCCCTGACCCTCAGATGACTTAGTGACATCTACGGTGTATTGGGTGCCCACACTGCACTAGGTATTTTCTATACCCAAGTCATACAATCCATAATCCTTTAAATAAGATCCAGGAAGAGAGTCCCCATGGTTCTCAAAGGTGAAGAGACATGAAAGCTCAACTCCAGGTCTTCACCTCTGTCATCCCAACAGCAAAGAAGCCCTCCTTACCATATTTCCTCACAAGGTGCTTCATAAGCTCTTCTGGAGCAGACATGAGCATAGCCATGCAGTTTGCGAAGTGCTTGTGGACCCTGAAATCAGTGCAGCACATGACTGCGGGGTGTGCTGATGTGAGCTGCAGGGGCTGAGCTGCTCCTGACAGGGCAGGAGGACATGTGGAAGACGGGTAACTTCAGTCTCTGGAGTGAACAGTGCTGCGAGAGGACAGGCAATGGCCAGAGCATCCATCCTGGTTTTGTGTTTTGTTTGTGTGGGTTTTGTTTGTTTTGTTTTTTATTTTCTTTTCCATTTTTTTATTGAGAAAAGGAGAAAAAAAAAACAAGTTTCCACCTCCTCCCAGCCTCCCATTTCCCTCCCCCTCCTCCCACCCTTCTCCCCCTCCCCCCACTCCTCTCCCCATCCCTCTCCAGTCCAAAGAGCAGTCAGGGTTCCCTGCCCTGTGGTAAGTCCTAGGTCCTCCCCTCTCCATCCATTTCTAGGAAGGTGAACATCCAAACTGGCTAGGCTCCCACAAAGCCAGCACATTACGTAGGTTCAAAACCCCGTGCCATTGTCCTTGGCTTCTCATCAGCCCTCATTGTTCGCCATGCTCAGAGAGTCCAGTTTTATCCCATGCTTTTTCAGTCACAGTCCAGCTGGCCTTGGTGAGCTCCCAATAGATCAGCTCCGCTGTCTCAGTGGGTGGGTGCACCCCTCGTGGTCCCGACTTCTTTGCTCATGTTCTCCCTCCATCTGCTCCTCATTGGGACCTTGGGAGCTCAGTCCAGTGCTCCAGTATGGGTCTCTGTCTCTATCTCCATCCATCACCAGATGAAGGTTCTATGATGATTTTGCATATCATCATAGAACCTTCATCTGTTTTGTTTTTTAAAAGAGGGTTTCTTTGCGTAGCCCTGGCTGTCTGAGTACTGGGACTAAAGGAGGGTACCACCACCACCAGGCTCATTCTTAATTCCCAGTGCTAACTGCTTCCCTCTCCCCAGTTCCAGGGATATCTGCTACACAAAGCTAGGTGTTATCCCTGCTTATTACAGACTTTTGTTTTCTTTTAAATAGTTAAATCTGATAGATTGGTAAATTAAAAAAAATGGTAAGAAAAAAAGCATTAAATCTGATAGATAGGATCAGCTTTGGAAAGTGATCTTCATTAGCTCTAAGGTTACAACCAGAGAAGCAGAAAGCAAAACAAACAAAAACTCAAAGATTACTATTGATGTCTTGATGGGGCAAGATGGATTTTTCTAGCTGATTTTGAAAAGCAATGCATCCTTCTCAAGCCAGTCATAGCACACCATTACTTGACATTTCTGAGCATTTCAGTGACTTTACAACTGTCACTGCTGAGTCAGAAAGCTTAGCTGTCACAAAGAAGTTCGGTCAATAATACATAAAAGAGTTAGTTTCCTCTTACATGGGATTTAACTTCTTCAAATGGCAGATTAAGTATCAGGATTTTGTGATCATTCTATGAATACAGAATTGACAGTCACTGAGGCCTATGTGGCATCAATGTTATATTTTTCTCAGAAATCGTTGCTAAAACTGCCTTTTATTTGGAACATGTTTAGTGATTTACCCCTGAACTAGTAGGAAATTAGACAGATTCTGCAATGTATCCAAGTGGGATGTCATTGTAAGCAGCAGTGCTGGAAGAGTATTGAGTACTTGTAGTATGCCATGTGCTTTGCTGAGTGAAGAATATAGGTTATTGAAAACATATCAAATGTATTAAATAGACACCATCACTCCTTGAGGACTGACAGGCAGTGTGTTGGTAGACATGAAACCACTTGTCCAAGGCACATAGTCAGGTGTGTTGTTGAGATGTAAGTCAGGCTGATATGGGTTTAATGCAGGTTTGCCTTTACGTTGTATGAACCTCACAATTAGAGCCTATGTAGGATAGTAGTGAAGGCACTGACTCCAGTTAACCTGTGCCAGCTCCGATGCCAGCTCCGATACCGGCTCCGATGCTGGACTGTGTTTTCATCATTATACTAGCATGTATGGATCTTTGTTCCTCAGAAGCCCTCACTTGCCCTTTGGACATTTCCTTAAGCTCTTTGCCTACCAGTTTTCTAGATGTAGAGTAAGGATGACTATGGCACCAATAACACGAGTCCCTTGGAAGAGTGAAGGGCTTGGCAAATGGAAAATGCCAAAAACACTGTGTAGGATGGAGACATGTTATTTTAGAAAAAATCTATGTGTCAGATATTTATTTCATACTATATTAGAAGTATTGTTTTCCCAGATAATTGTGCCATAAGTGATCTGGGAATCTACCATTTTGATCGTAAATCTAAGGGAGTCAAGTGACACCTGTAAGACATTGTTGTCTGCACTGTCTGGTAAGGAACCAGCTTAGAACTACCAGCAGATAATGCAAGAAGACTGCTCATATTCCCACCCCTTCCTACAGCATCAGCCACAGAGTCATGCTCAGATCACATTCTCATGAGCCGAGCCCTGTTGCCTTCACTTACAGACCTTGACAAGGTCTAAGGGTAAGCAATCATAGGGCTTTGCCAGTATAAACATCTAATCCTTTTATATTTGGCAAAGCTAGACTGTTCCAGAACTCCTCTTGTGATTTAAAAACCATGTCTCAGTGCTGATCTCTACCCAGCCCAGGTACTACTCTGTTCTTGGCCAACTCTGTTCCTGTCACTGCATGCAAATACTTCCAAGACATCTTCAGCTTCTATTTTGATGCACACATTGATTATTTGTAGAGCCCAAGGCCTGCCAACTACTCATGTCTGTGAAATCTGCAGTGTTTGAATCTCAACTTTGAAATTGATCTGTAAAGGAAGGAAA